AGGATTTCACCCGTCGCTTCCGGGCGGTATTCGATCATCCACCGGAGGGGAGAGCGGCGGGCGAGCGTCTGTTCCACCTAAGACAGGAGAGGAGGAGCGCCCAGGATTTTGCGCTGGAGTTCAGGACTCTGGCATCCAGCGCAGGATGGAATGAGAGGGCCCTGATCGACCACTATCGTTGCAGCCTAAGGGAGGACTTTCAGCGTAAACTGGCCTGCAGGGATACCAACCTCAACCTGGACCAACTGGTGGACATGTCCATCAGGCTGGATAATCTGTTGGAGACCCGCGGACGTTCTGATCAGGGCCCATTCATTCCATCTCCCAGCACCTCCGACCCTACCCCCATGGAGCTCGGAGGTGCTGCGCTTAGGGAGACCAGGAGAGGGGCCGTTCCCTGCACCAACTGTGGCCGCAGAGGACACACTGCGGGTCGGTGTTGGGGAGGGTTCCCAGGGAGTCGAGGCAGTAGGCAGAGCACTGGTCGACCATCTCAGGTGAGTAAGCACCCGACTCACCCAGAGCTCCCTGTTGGTCAGCTGTGTATAGAGGTTGTTTTCTCCTCATTCCCAGCATAAGGCGCTAGTAGATTCAGGCGCAGCTGGGAATTTCATTGATCATCAGTATTCACTTAGTTTAGGGATTCCCACTGTTCGTGTTGATGTGCCCTTCCCTGTACATGCATTAGATAGTCGCCCATTAGGGTCAGGCCTAATCAGGGAGGTTACCGCACCACTCTTGATGAGGATGCAGGGGGGTCATGAGGAGAGGATTAGTCTCTCTGATTGATTCTCCTGCGTATCCTGTGGTGTTGGGACTACCCTGGTTAACCACTCATGACCCCACTATTTCCTGGCAACAGAGGGCTCTCAAGGGATGGTCCAGTCAGTGCTCAGGGAGGTGTGTAGGAGTTTCCTTAGGGGCTACTACGGTGGAGAGTCCAAACCAGGTCTCCACAACGCACATTCCTTCCGAGTATGCCGATTTGGCTCTCGCCTTCAGTAAAAAGAGGGCGACTAAATGACCACCCCATCGTCTGGGGGATTGTGCGATAAATCTCCAGGTAGGCGCTGCACTTCCCCGGAGTCACGTGTACCCTCTGTCACAGGAGGAGAAGGCGGCTATGGAAACATATGTCTCCGAATCTCTGAGACAGGGATACATTCGGCCTTCCACTTCACCTGTTTATTTTTCGTGAAGAAGAATGATGGTGCGTTACGCCCGTGCATTGATTACCGTGGTCTTAATCAGATCACCATCAAGTACAGCTATCCATTACCTCTGATAGCTTGTATGACAGAGTCATTGCACGGGATGCGCTTCTTCACAAAATTGGATCTCAGGAGCGCATACAACCTGGTGCGTATCCGGGAGGGAGATGAGTGGAAGACGGCATTCAGTACTACCTCAGGACACTATGAGTACCTCGTCATGCCATACGGGTTGATGAATGCTCCATCAGTCTTCCAATCCTTTGTCGATGAGATTTTCAGGGATCTGCACGGACAGGGTGTAGTGGAGTATATTGATGACATTCTCATATACTCCGCTACACGGGCCGAGCATGTGTCTGGGGTGAGGATGGAGAGTGACCGCATTTTGGCCGTTCGTAATTGGGAGACTCCAACCACGGTGAAGGAGGTGCAGCGATTTTTTGGGTTTGCCAATTACTACCGGAGGTTTATCCGGGGCTTTGGTCAGGTATCGGTGAGGGTTTATGTTTCCTCCTGCTCGGTGTGTGCCCAGTGTAAGGCTCCTAGACACCTGCCCAGAGGGAAATTGCAACCCCTACCCGTTCCACAACGACCGTGGTCCCACCTATCGGTGGACTTCGTGACGGATCTTCCCCCCTCACAAGGGAACACCACGATCCTGGTCGTTGTGGATCGGTTTTCTAAGTCCTGCTGCCTCATTCCGCTGCCCGGTCTCCCTACGGCCCTACAGACTGCTGAGGCCCTATTTACACACGTCTTCCGGCACTATGGGGTACCTGAGGATATAGTGTCTGATCAGGGTTCACCTCGAGAGTCTGGAGGGCGTTCATGGAACGTCTGGGAGTCTCGGTCAGCCTGACCTCAGGGTTTCACCCCGAAAGCAACGGGCAGGTGGAGAGAGTCAACCAGGAGGTGGGTAGGTTTCTGAGGTTGTATTGCCAGGACCGGCGGGGGGAAGTGGTCGGTTTTCCTCCCCTGGGCAGAAATGGCCCAAAACTCACTCCGCCACTCCTCCACTAACCTAATACACACTGGAAAGGAGTAAGGTTATCAGCCGGTTCTGGCACCTTGGCATCAGAGCCTGATCGAGGCACCTGCGGTGGATGAATGGTTTCGGCACTCGCAGGAGACCTGGAACTCTGCCCATGTGCGCCTGCAACGGGCCATCGGGCGGCAAAAGGAGAGAGTCACCGCAGTGAGGCTCCCGGTGTATGCCCCGGGGGACCGGGTCTGGCTCTCGACCCGAAACCTGCCCCTTCGCCTGCCCTGCCGGAAGCTGGGCCGGCGGTTTGTGGGGCCATTCAAAGTCCTGAGGAGATTGAACGAGGTATGTTATAGGTTACAGCGTCCTCCTGATTATCGTATTAACCCCTCGTTCCATGTGTCTCTCCTCAGGCCGGTGGTAGCTGGTCCACTCCAGGAGTCTGAGATACGGGAGGTTCCTCCGCCCCCACTGGACATCGAGGGGGCACCGGCGTACTTGGTCCGTTCCGTCTTGGATTCGAGGCGTCGGGTGGGAGGCCTGCAGTATCTCGTGGAGTGGGAGGGGTACGGTCCGGAGGAACGGTGCTGGGTCCCTAGGAGGGACATCCTCAATCCCTCCACCGCAGTCATCCGACTCGCTGCGTCCTCCTGGCTGTCCCCGAGGCCGGTGTCGACGCACGGCTGGAGCCGCGCATCGGGGGGGAGGGGGTACTGTCACGGATTCTGCCAAGGCTGCCCCTCCTCCTTGCTCGGGCAGGCTTCGGCGTTCGTAGTCACCGGAATACTAGCTACTGCCGATCTATTTTCTATGTTCTACCTGTTGTCTGATTGTTACACACCTGTTTCCCATTATGTGATTACTCCTTCCCTATTTAACCCAGTGGCTCCCAATGTGTTTTATGCGTGTTTGTTTTTTGTTTCGTGTGTCGTTGGTGAGTGGGTTTGTTCCTCCCTGTGTGGAGGTATCTTGTATTGATTTCTTTACTTATTTCAGTAAAGTACGTTTCATAGAGTTCTGTGTCCTGCGCCTGACTTCGATCCACTGCATTAAACTGACACTCGTGACATGGTTAAAGTATTGCATTGCAAGATGCCAAAAGTAGCCTTGTGCAAATGGGGAATAAATGATGACACTCTTATTCATAACAAAAAAAAACAGGTAGCTTAATATAATAACAAGATGTAATCATTTGCCATTAGTGAGAAGCGCGAAAATCTATTTATTTAAATTTCCATGATCATTGCATAATAAATTCCTCACCTTTTCTGACTGTGATGGTTTCTAACACTGGACAATTGAGGAGTGGAAAAACATTGCCTGTAACAAGACAGCGAGTTCAGTTTACTAGAGTGGCCTGCGCAGTCCCCAGACCTCAACCCAATAGACCATCTTTGGTATGAGATGGAACGGGCTCTTCGCAGCATGAATGTACCGCCGTCCAATCTGCAGCAACTGTGTGATGCCATCGCATCCGCATTGACCAACATTTACATTTTAGTCATTTAGCAGACGCTCTTATCCAGAGCGACTTACAGTTAGTGAGTGCATACATTTTTCATACTGTGGAACGTTTCCGACACCTTGAAGAATTCAGACTGTTCTGGAGGGTCTGACCCGGTACTAAATAGGCTATTATAATTTTTTATAGTTTTTGCTCTATGCAGCTGAAAGGGAGTGCGGTTTATAACATACAGTAGAATTTAACAGGAAGAGACAGTTGATCTTTTGCATTGACGTGTGTAGGCTACCACTGTAAGTAGGTCTAGGCCTATTGTAGTTTAAAAAAATTCAGAGTAGACAATGTTTCAGAATTTGCAGGCAGGGCAGCATATTGGTTCGGGAAAAAGTATATGCAAAACAGTATTGAATTGAAACGATCTGTTTACAGGTCCACAACAATTTGCTATTGTTTTTCTTTTTCAGAAATGGTCAGATACAGCAAATGTCACTGCAAAAGACAACATTCTTCCAACACCTCCAAAGACTTTTGATCAAGTTGGCCATTGCGGTTTCCTTTAGATACTGTCTTGGCCTAATTCCAATACTTCCAAAGTATACAGCAAATAAGGGCGTTATTGTCACCATAGAAGGTGAATGATGGGCGTTTTTCAGGAGGAGTTACAATGCTCATTCACACACGCATAGTTTTAGGATAAGTATTTTCAGAAACGGCGCAGGCAGATATTTAGTGTAAAATGTACGCAACTGTTACAAATGAGGTCCCAGATCTTTTGAAATGGTTGGGTTAGATGCAAGCCGTTTTCACTGTAGTAATGGTGCTAACCATGACACAAATTAATCTGCACTCGCTTCTTTCTCTAGGGCGCTCAGAAACAACGGTACAGCGAAGCCTTATCATTACAACAATTATTATCTGGGAGATTTTTTCCCAGAGTTTTCCAGTGCTCCCAAAATAAAACTCCCGGTTGCACAGCAAAATATTAGCACTTTAGATTATGATACTGATAATGTATTTGATAATGACACTGAGTCCCATACTGTCTGAGTCCCAAATGGCACCCTATGGGCCTTTGTCAAAAGCAGTGCACTATATAAGGTATAGGGTGCCATTTAGGATACAGCCAATGTCTCTGGCTGTGTGTACACAGGCAGCCCAATTCTGATATTTTTTTTCACTAATTGGTCTTTTGACCAATCAGATCAGCTCTGAAAAAGATCTGATGTGATTGGTCAAAAGTTAGTCGAAAAAATATCTGAATTGGGCTGCTGTGTAAACGCAGCCTTTGTGTCACAGATCCTCCTCACTGATAACATCGCTCTCTTTTCTCCAGATCCTAGCCATCATATCCATCCTGTTTATCGGGCTGTCCACCATCGCCCTGTCCCTCAACACCCTGCCTGAGCTGCAGGACACAGACGAGTTTGGCCACGCCTCAGACAACCCCCAGCTGGCCCACGTAGAGGCCGTCTGCATCGCCTGGTTCACTATGGAGTACCTCCTCCGCTTCCTCTCATCGCCCACCAAATGGAAGTTTATCAAAGGTGAACACTTTAGTTTTTTAATATGCAATCAATGTCTGTGGCCATTGTAATGTATTTATTGGTGTTGTATGTTTTAGCTGGTGCAAATACATTTCCCCTTATAAGGATGAATAAACGACTGTCTTATCTGATCTTTAAGGTCCCCTAAACGTGATCGACCTGCTGGCCATCCTTCCTTATTATGTCACAATCTTCCTGACCGAGTCCAACAAGAGTGTTCTACAGTTCCAGAACGTCCGGAGGGTGGTTCAGATATTCCGGATCATGCGTATCCTTAGGATTCTGAAGCTGGCTCGTCACTCCACGGGGCTGCAGTCTCTAGGTTTCACCCTGAAGAGGAGTTACAATGAGCTGGGTCTACTCATCCTCTTCCTGGCCATGGGCATCATGATCTTCTCCAGCCTCGTCTTCTTCGCTGAGAAGGACGAGGATGACACCAAGTTCAAAAGCATCCCGGCCTCCTTCTGGTGGGCCACCATTACTATGACCACGGTGGGTTATGGGGACATTTACCCTAAGACTCTGCTGGGGAAGATTGTGGGTGGTCTCTGTTGCATCGCAGGGGTGCTGGTGATCGCCTTGCCTATTCCCATCATCGTCAACAACTTCTCTGAGTTCTACAAGGAGCAGAAGCGCCAGGAGAAAGCTGTGAAGCGGCGGGAGGCACTGGAGAGGGCGAAACGCAACGGGAGCATCGTCTCTATGAACATGAAGGAGGCATTCGCCCGCAGCGCCGAGTTGATGGACGTGGTGGTGGAGAAGAGCGAGAGGCCGCTAACGCAAGACAACCACCTCTCGCCCAGCCACTGGAAGTGGACACCCAAGCGGGCCACCACCGCCTCCGAGACCAGCTCGGCCCACTCCTTCAACCCTGTGGAGTCACAGACGGGTTCCCCCAGCAAGGCCAGGGCCTCCAGTCCTCAGGGGCTCAATGCTCAGAATCTGGAGGAGATGTATAACCAAATGGCCAAGACCCAGTCACAGCCCAACCTCAACGCCAAAGACAAGAGCTCCAGGGCTGGCAGGCAGAGGGATAGGGATGAGATGGAGCTGGGGACCATCCCTGGGGGTCCAGGGGACCCTATGCTAGGGGGCCGAGAGGGGGTGGGGGACATGAAGAGCCTGTCTAGTATTGACAGCTACATCAGCTGTGCTGCAGACTTCCAGGAGAATCCACGTGTTGTCTACGCCCATAGTCCAGCCTCCGGCCTGGCCCTCCTGGCCCAGGAGACCAGCCGCTTCTCCCACATCAGCCCAGTCACGGCCCTCTCTGGGCGGGTCAGCACCAACCCTGGCCTCCAGACAACACTGGAGCATGAGCCCTTGCTGGATCCACTCTCTGCTGTGAAGGCCGCAGGTTCTGGCAACACTCGTCACTTTAATAACCCTCTGAAAGGTGGCGGCCTTTCCTACAAGGTGAACTACCGGAGCAGTGGAGGGGAATCAGTGCCAGGACCAGGACCAGGCCCTTCCCCCAGCAGCGGTGGTCCTCTCTCAGACAGTTCCGTCCTGTCTGACCACTCCCTGCTCAGCCCAGAGACGTCCATCTACACCACGGCCAGCAGCAGGACCCCTACCAAGTCCCCTGACAGCTCCACCCTGACCACGGTCCTGACCTCCACACCGGCCGTCTTCACTTTCCACGACTCCTCCATCAGTAAGTACATTGACGCCGACACAGACGAAGACGAGCACCTACGGGACATGTCGGAGGCCACCAGCCCTTCAGAGCGCCTGCTGGCCGGCTCCAGTCCCCCCAAATGCAACAGAAACATCAACAGCGGCTACAACCAGAGAGGCATCAACCACCTGGCACCAAGCACCACCCAGCGGATGCTGGGGCAGAACTGCCTATTCCCCGGCCTGGATGGGGGGACGCGGGGGAGCGGGGGCCACACGGAGAACCATGTGGTTCCGGAGCTGCCCCGCAGGCACAAAGGGGACAGAGGAAAGTCTAGTACCATCGACAAGAGTCTCTGAGCTACAGAGATAGGGCAGAGTAGAGGATAGCATGGCCAGCGTTAAGGGAGCTGGAGCAAGGAAGACTTACGTCAGGGACATCCAGTGAAACACGGACAAGGTGCTGTGTGGAAGGCAGAGAAAGTGATAGAGAGAGAGAAAGAAAGAGAGAGAAGGAAAGAGACACTGTGCAGAATCCCTTTACAAACGGACAGAAAGGGCCAGGAAGTGAGAGAGATTCAGGGCAGCGTTTGGGCTTTGGTGTGGTATTGAATACTCTGGGAATAGACTTGTAGGATAGATAAAGAACACCACTCTCCCTCCTCTCCCTCCCTTCCTGTTAGCCACAGTACACTAGCTACCACAGAACTGGGCAAAGAACTCCCACAAACCCAAATGAGCAGGGGCCCCACAGGGAGACGTGGGAGCAGGTCAAAGCAAAGCATGCTGGGAAGGGACATGGTCTGTTGGTTGGTTGAAGCTGTGGTGGTCCAATTCAGCGGTGAGGCAGGATGAGGGGGGAGGCAGGAAACAGCAAGACAGTCATCCCCTATATTCTCCTACAGGTCTATCTATCTCAGCTGACCACTGTCCCATTCCACCCTGAGCCCCAGCCCAGCTCACACTGTAGTAAACTACACTCTTAGAAAAAAGGGTTCCAAAAGGGTTCTTTGGCCTTTCACCATAAGAGAACCCTTTTTGGCTCCAGGTAAAAAACCTTTTTTGTTCCAAGTAGAACCATTTTGGGTTCCATGTAGAACCCTCTATGGAAAGGGTTCTACATGGAACCCAAAATGGTTATATTTGAAACCAGAAGGTTTCTACCTGGAACCTTTTAGGTTCTAGGTAGCGCCTTTTTTTCTAAGAGTGTAGGGATTCCAGAAGATGCCAATAAGCTACTTACTAGTGCCCCCCTAGTCCCAAACCTGGCCTTAGTCATATGTGAGTATGTGTTTGAGCCTGTGTGTGTGTGTGTGTGTGTGTGTGTGTGTGTGTGTGTGTGTGTGTGTGTGTGTGTGTGTGTTTGAGTGCACGTGTTTAAAAGATATCCACACTTTTAGATTGTCTTACCTGATTTATTTTTATATAGATAAAGGAGGTTACCTATAGGAATTTGTGATTTGCTAGTCTGTTGTGTCATGACCATATCTGTTTGAGTAATTCTGTATGACATATTTCTAGACAAGTTACAGTTGCTGGAGGTTTACAATCCAGACTCCTCTTAGAGAAAACCACAGTCTGTCAAATATAGTCTTGTTCGTCTTGGTAGTTTCTTTATCACATAGTAAGAGTAGAGGACCACATTTGATCTGACATTTCTGTCTGTGAATATGTCTTGATTGTATGTCGTTTTATTTTTATTACATTGGGTTTGAGTCAGAGGGGAATGGTTGAAGAAACATAATCTTTTTGGTATTAAAGTCAGGAATCATAAATATCCCTGAAGATCTTTTGCATCAAACACACATTTAGGAGAGCTCTCTTCCAAGACATGCATGTACCAAACAGCCTGCCTCTTCCTCCCAGTCATACCACCAAGACACAAGGGGCTCGATTCAATCCATATCGCGGGAATTCAGCGTTACTGCGTTATTGAAATTGAAAGGCAATGTTCCCGCGTTAGCAGAGACTGCATTCACGGTAAACGCTGTAAGTGTCAGCTTAATAGGAAATTAGCTTTACATTTCTAGTGCGCTTTCTGTAACGCTTCAGCAATACAGATTGAAGAGCCCAAGAGTTCAAAAGAATCACTTCAACTGAAATGCTGAAATATGTAAAAGAAAAATGACCTGTTTATTTTTATAGTACTTTATAAAGAATGTGGTGAATGGATTTATGAGTCTATATTTCCAAATCCAAGTAAACATTACCGATATATGTTCATATTTAAAGTGAAACATTGATAAAGCTGCCATCACACGCATCATCATCATTATCCTTTCAACAACATAGAGCCAAAGAGTGGTCCATTTAGAACTGTGGTTGGAATGAGAGAGAGAGAGCAAGAAAGATAGAGAGAGGGGAGAAAAAGAGAGAGCAAGAAAGAGAGAGATATCCCCTATGCAGTACTCCTTGGGCTTGCAGTATAATTCATACATTTTTCCAGAATGCTATCTGAACAGCATATTAATTCAAAGAGGGAAAAGTGTTAAGTCTCACTTATCCAGGAAACCCGGTTACAGGTTGTGATTGAATAGCATGTCTAGTCTTTTTGAGTGCATCTACATTCATCCACACACAGACATATTGAAAGGCCAGCCCATACACAGGTATAATATAGTAGACAATATCTACAAGATAGCTCCAGGCCAGCCCAGTTTCCATAGTAACAAGCTCCATCCTGGCAAGGCTGATACCAGAGCTGCAGAACTCTGCTAATTGGGGTGGGAATGATGCCTAATTGTATCAAAATGGATGCATTCTTTACCTTTACACAGTCTGCACATTCAAACATACAGTAGCTGTTCCACAGGAATACACATAGATAAAAAAACATCCTGTAGCCACCTACACCCCTCTGTCTAGTTTGGAATATATGCAAGATAATGCATTCTGAAGAATAGACATCACAGTGCATAGATATCACTGAAGATGCTTATAAATACAAAGACAGACCCACAACACTGTCCACATACACGTCCATGCGTTTGTCCTTTGCTCTCTTCCTCTCACTCTCTCTGAGAAAAGTCAGAGTGAAAAAGGGGAGATTGTCGCATGCATTTTTCGCACCCATTCCTGTCTGAGCTGGATCCGAGCGAGGGGAGCTGTGTGAACTGAACAGTAATGACTGCAGAAGGGGCAGAACCTCTGAAACACTGTGTGTGTGTGTGTGTGTGTGTGTGTTATCATGTTTAAAGGGACTGCTGCTCAGCCAAACTGCTCAGCCAAACTGCTCAGCCAAAGGCTTCCACTTTGTTAGACATTAGCTAGGTTTCCATCCAATTGGCGACATATTTTTATACGAATATTCTAAAATCGACATAACAGCAATATGCGCATTCCCCCCTCCCCCCCAGGTTTTGGCATGTGTGCTCTAGCCAACAGGCTACCTACAGTGGGGAAAAAAAGTATTTAGTCAGCCACCAATTGTGAAGTTTCAAGCTCATCACCTTGCACTTTCACCACCCTGTGAAGTTCACCATCATTTCTTTCATCTGTAGCCTAATAAACTGTATGCTTTCCCAAGTCATAGCGGGAGAACCACACAACATATCGCATGCCCTACTCATAGTGGGAGGACCACACAACATATCGCATGCCCTACTCATAGTGGGAGGACCACACAACATATCGCATGCCCTACTCATAGTGGGAGGACCACACAACATATCGCATGACTCTAGATTTACTTAGATCTGATGGTTATTATTAATATTTGCCATAAACGGTTTCCACCACCAATTATTGCAAAATTCATTTTACCAACACAAAAAGATGCCACCTTGTCTAGCATATTCTGTTTTGTCGACATTTGGATAGTTTGCCGACAAATTTGCTGTTTCCATCCGACATGTACTTTACTCGCATAAAAAGTTTGGCTGGAAACCTGGTTAATGTTAACATCCCACTGGGCACACTGGTTGAATCAACGCTGAACCAATGTGGAATAGACGTTGAATTGCTGTCTGTGCCAGTGGGATGGATGATTTGAACTGTAAGGGGGACATACAGTGTCACTGTTTTATGTTCACAATGCATTTCAAATTCTTCTCGTTAAATTGTCTGTCCTCTGCACTGTGCTGGCTTCTCGTGCTTGGCTCTGATATTGAGCATTATCTAATACTGAGTTGTGATGCTGTCCCCTATGTTTCACATAACCAGGCATCAAGTTATGCTCCCACTGTAAGAATACATAGTGGGAGTCAGGGACTGTTTTGTCATGTTGTGTCAAATATCTCTTTAAAGAAAGATGACAATCATAGACACTTACAGGAAGGAAGTATCTACTGATAGTCTTTACATCTTTTTGTTTTGGTAGAATGATTCTGGACAATGTTCTGACAAGGTGAAATGTGTTTACTGCTATACTGTGACCACTGACCAGTATGTTTAAAAGGGTTAATGTAAATTTGCTGCTAGTCTTTGTGTTTTTTTCTCTCACAGACTTACTACTTCTTTAAGAGGCTCCTCTGTCCTCCACTCATTACCTGTATTAATGGCACCTGTTTGAACTTGTTATCAGTATAAAAGACACCTGTCCACAACCTCAAACAGTCACACTCCAAACTCCACTATGGCCAAGACCAAAGAGCTGTCAAAGGACACCAGAAACAAAATTGTAGACCTGCACCAGGCTGGGAAGACTGAATCTGCAATAGGTAAGCAGCTTGGTTTGAAGAAATCAACTGTGGGAGCAATTATTAAGAAATGGAAGACATACAAGACCACTGATATTCTCCCTCGATCTGGGGCTCCACGCAAGATCTCACCCCGTGGGGTCAAAATGATCACAAGAACGGTGAGCAAAAATCCCAGAACCACACGGGGGGACCTAGTGAATGACCTGCAGAGAGCTGGGACCAAAGTAACAAAGCCTACCATCAGTAACACACTATGCTGCCAGGGACTGAAATCCTGCAGTGCCAGACGTGTCCCCCAGTACATGTCCAGGCCCGTCTGAAGTTTGCTAGAGTGCATTTGGATGATCCAGAAGAGGATTGGGAGAATGTCATATGGTCAGATGAAACCAAAATAGAACTTTTTGGTAAAAACTCAACTCGTCGTGTTTGGAGGACAAAGAATGCTGAGTTGCATCCAAAGAACACCATACCTACTGTGAAGCATGGGGGTGGAAACATCATGCTTTGGGGCTGTTTTTCTGCAAAGGGACCAGGACGACTGATCCGTGTAAAGGAAAGAATGAATGGGGCCATGTATCGTGAGATTTTGAGTGAAAACCTCCTTCCATCAGCAAGGGCATTGAAGATGAAACGTGGCTGGGTCTTTCAGCATGACAATGATCCCAAACACACCGCCCGGGCAACGAAGGAGTGGCTTCGTAAGAAGCATTTCAAGGTTCTGGAGTGGCCTAGCCAGTCTCCAGATCTCAACCCCATAGAAAATCTTTGGAGGGAGTTGAAAGTCTGTGTTGCCCAGCGACAGCCCCAAAACATCACTGCTCTAGAGGAGATCTGCATGGAGGAATGGGCCAAAATACCAGCAACAGTGTGTGAAAACCTTGTGAAGACTTACAGAAAACGTTTGACCTGTGTCATTGCCAACAAAGGGTATATAACAAAGTATTGAGAAACTTTTGTTATTGACCAAATACTTATTTTCCACCATAATTTGCAAATAAATTAATAAAAAATCTTACAATGTGATTTTCTGGAAAAAAAATTCTCATTTTGTCTGTCATAGTTGACGTGTACCTATGATGAAAATTACAGGCCTCTCTCATCTTTTTAAGTGGGAGAACTTGCACAATTGGTGGCTGACTAAATACTTTTTTTCCCCACTGTACCTACATGATGATGAGATTATTATGGATTTATTTGTCAAACGGCAGCCAAGCATCGATCATCATGTCACTAGAATGAGACCCTCTATATTTATTGGAAAGGAGCAAGCTCATCACCTTGCACTTTCACCACCCTGTGAAGTTCACCATCATTTCTTTCATCTGTAGCCTAATAAACTGTATGCTTTCCCAAGTCATAGCGGGAGAACCACACAACATATCGCATGCCCTACTCATAGTGGGAGGACCACACAACATATCGCATGCCCTACTCATAGTGGGAGGACCACACAACATATCGCATGACTCTAGATTTACTTAGATCTGATGGTTATTATTAATATTTGCCATAAACGGTTTCCACCACCAATTATTGCAAAATTCATTTTACCAACACAAAAAGATGCCACCTTGTCTAGCATATTCTGTTTTGTCGACATTTGGATAGTTTGCCGACAAATTTGCTGTTTCCATCCGACATGTACTTTACTCGCATAAAAAGTTTGGCTGGAAACCTGGTTAATGTTAACATCCCACTGGGCACACTGGTTGAATCAACGCTGAACCAATGTGGAATAGACGTTGAATTGCTGTCTGTGCCAGTGGGATGGATGATTTGAACTGTAAGGGGGACATACAGTGTCACTGTTTTATGTTCACAATGCATTTCAAATTCTTCTCGTTAAATTGTCTGTCCTCTGCACTGTGCGGGGCTTCTCGTGCTTGGCTCTGATATTGAGCATTATCTAATACTGAGTTGTGATGCTGTCCCCTATGTTTCACATAACCAGGCATCAAGTTATGCTCCCACTGTAAGAATAACATAGTGGGAGTCAGGGACTGGTTTTGTCATGTTTGGTCAAATATCCTTTAAAAAAAGATGACAATCATAGACACTGACAGGAAGGAAGTATCTACTGATAGTCTTTACATCTTTTGTTTTGGTAGAATGATTCTGGACAATGTTCTGACAAGGTGAAATGTGTTTACTGCTATACTGTGACCACTGACCAGTATGTTTAAAAAGGTTAATGTAAATTTGCTGCTAGTCTTTGTGTTTTTTTCTTAAAGGGCACTTTATACATCAGTCTCTCTCCATCTCTGAATGAGTCACCCAAACGTCCTGTAGCATACAATAGCTTTAACTTTTACTAGTCCTGAACAAGAGGGTTTCTGATGTCAAAGGATTCATAAGTGTTATGTTTTAATGAGAAAGCACAATCAAGTTACTTTTTTTAATTTATCTTCTTTTTTTGATAAGATATGAAAAACATACAATTTAGGAATTATACAAATGCCATTGAAATTGATGTTGGATTTCAGGGTAGTGGTCCATTTGAAATGCTTTGGTACATTATAATTCAATTCAAGAATTGGATTTGGAAATTGAATAGATTTGAAAGAGATGAAATTGATCCCAAACAGTCATTCCCAAACTGTCATTGTAACATACACAAATTCCAGGGAACTGAAGGAAAAAAAAGATTCAAGACTTTCTGACTTTCCCCACCTCTTCTTCTACTGTTGTTTGTAGGTCTCCAGGCTACTATTTGTTTTGTAACATTTCTACCTGTTGACTTTCTAATGCTGTAAGTTGTTGCTGTATAAATGTTCTGTTGTTCGATCGATGCATGTCGTAAATTTGTAGCCGTGACTGGGTGTGAAACACATGCACAACGGCAGTTTACCTGTCCTGTAAAAAGTGTCTCAATGTCCCAAGATCTTTCTATTTCTTTTAGAAAGGCAACATTCCCTTGGATGACTGAAAATTAAATAAAAGTCTAATTAATTAATGGTTTGATTTTTGATTATTTACATGTATTACAGGCATTATCGAAGGCTTTTGCTGATACAAAGAAAAAGTTACATACTCTTAGAAAATAATCTACAATACCATTTCTTCGGAAGAACGATTCTGTCCAACCAGAGAACAAAATTAGCCGAATCAGCCACATAATCAAGATTAAATTGTTGGCAGAGGTTTCATATCAATTGTTATGTGAGACACTGGTATGGGCCAGTCCATACGGATGCACACACAGCACTGTCTGTGCTGCTTTTTGATTATGCCTGATCCATGTGCTGTCCGGTCTGTCCGAAGCTGTGGATGGTGGGACAGGAGCAGGAGTCTAGTCTCCCGACACGCCTCCACACACCACGACACCTGGGGTTACCCACCGCCTGCCATTGCAGAGACTGCCTGCCACTGCAGAGGAGGGCAGGAGCAAGAGAGACTGTTATTTACTAGACAGTTTCTATATGAGGCACTAGTCTAGACTAAGACTGACACCTAGTGGCTGAAATCTGACTCTTCAAACAAGAAACCCAACATTGGGTTATTAGTATGTAAACATGATTTAAACGGAATGTCCTAATATCTTTACCACATATGTATAGCATCAAGCTCTCATTTTCTCTCCTCCCTCCTCCCCTCCTCCCCTCGTCTTACCTCTCCTCCTCGTCCTTATCTCCGTCTCCAGAGCAGTGTGTCTGCCCCGCAGCGAGGGCTGGAGGCTGGCACTCCACACAAACTTGGTGGCCCTCCTTCAGGTACTGCATCCAGCGGGTGTGTGGCCCCACACTACGCTGGCACCCAGGGGTCAGGGAGGTCAGCTGGAACTGCACACAGTACCTGGATAAGTATACACATTATACACACACACACACACACACACACACACACACACACACACACACCCACACACAATCACATTCACAGTACAGTGGAGGCTGCTGAGGGGAGGACGGCTCATAATAATGGCTGAAACGGAGCAAATGGAATGGCATCAAACCATGTGTTTGCTGTATTTGATTACAATTCCACTTATTCTGCTCTAGTCATTACCACGAGCCCGTCCTCCCCAATTAAGGTGACACCAACCTCCTGTGCGGTACACAACACATTCATATACGCACAGGGGTCAGAACATATGACAGGAATACTTTAGAAGGACACAAACACATAGACCGGATCTCTCACCCTTGGACATCATCGTTATCTGGGATGTCTCTCTTCTTCCTGGCATTGCCATAGTCACCGGTAGTGATGAGAGCCGGGACTGCAAAGACAACATCCATAATGACAAAACCATGACAACAATACCACAGCTTTAGCTCCCACACACACAACATGTTTTTTATTTAACCAGGTAGGCCCATTGAGGTCAGAAGACATCTTCTGCAAGGGAGACCTGGAAATGTAACCTTTACTTGAAGACAGAGGGATATCTGACAGAGACAAGAGCCCATTAAAGGCATATGGGTATGGTCCTTACCAGAGCCATTTAGATATGTACCCTAAGGCAATATACACTGAGTGTACAAAACATTAAGAACACCTGCTCTTTACATGACATAGACTGACCAGGTAAATGCAATGATCCCTTATTGATGTCACCTGTTAAATCCACTTCAAACAGTGTAGATGAAGGTGAGGAGACAGGTTAAATAAGGGTTTTTAAGCCTTGAGATAATTGAGACATGGATTGTGTATGTGCCATTCAGAGGGTGAATGGGCAAGACAAAAGATTTCAGTGCCTTTGAATGGAGTATGGTAGTCGGTGCCCAGTGCACCGGTTTGTGTGTCAAGAACTGCAACGCTGCTGGGTTTTTATGCTCAACTGTTTCCCATGTGTATCAAGAATGGTCCACCACCCAAAGGACATCCAGCCAACTTGAAACAACTGTGGGAAGCAGTGGAGTCAACATGGGCCAACATCCCTGTGGAACACTTGACACCTTGTAGTCCATGCCTGACGAATTGAGGCTGATCTGTGAGCTAAAGGGGGTGCAACTCAATATTAGGAAGGTGTTCTTACTGTTTGGTACATTATATGGCTGTGGTGCTTACCTAGTGATTTGCTGCACTGCCGGTGGTGGTTCCTGTACTCTGCACAGCCTGCGTCCTCCTCCACGCGTGGACAGGGTTTCCCCCCCGTTTTGGGGCTCCTGCAGGACCTGCCTGCTCCTTATCCGAACTGTGGCCCTGCAGGGCTCACCACAGCCAGACCACGCAGTCCACTCACTCACCACACAGGACACCGCTAGGACGGAGGGGGAGGACATGCAGGGCCAGCTCCAGGCATAAGCAACATATATTCTTTTTTTGGAACTCAGTCAGGGTCTCAACTTACTGTTGAGAGTTAGAATATTTGAATACACAAGGTGCAGCTTTGAAATTTGGTTGTGCGTCATCACTTTTGCTTTTGTTATGTCAGTCAATGACAGTCACTCAATTATCACTCACTAAAAATGTATAGATTGGTAAGTTATTCTAGCCAGCATGCCCAGGGGCCAGCTGCAGGTAGCCTAGTGGTTAAGAGCATCAGGCCAGTAACCTAAAGGTTGCTGGTTTGAATCCCCAAGCTGACTAGGTGAAAAACCTGTCGTTGTGCCCTTGAGCGAGGTACTTAACACTAATTGCTCTGGATAAGAGTGTCTGCTAAATGACAAAATGTAATGGATCTGACCTCCAGGGGCCACCATTGATTTTGTTAGTCAATCTCACTCAGATGTCATTTTAACATGGCATAAGTCATGGCAAAATATGTAGAATGTTCTACTAAATCTCGCATAGGGACCCCAAAAGGCTAGACCGGGCCTTGAGGACAGGACAGGACAGGAGAGCATGAGGACACGGCAGGGGTAAATGAAAGCAAGTACAAGCATGACTCAATGGTAGAGTGCCCTGAGGTCAGGACTCTGTGCAGGCCAGTCAAGTTCTTCCACACCGATCTCAACAAACCATTTCCATGGATTACGCTTTGTGCACGGGGTCACTGTCATGCTGAAACAGGAAAGGAACTTCCCCAAACTGTTGCCACAAAGTTGGAAGCACAGAATAGTCTAGAATGTCATTGTATGCTGTAGCGTTAAGATTTCCCTTCACTGGAACTAAGTGGCCTAGCCCGAACCATGAAAAACAGTCCCAGAACATTATTCCTCCACCACCAAAGTTTACAGTTGGCACTATGCATTGGGGCAGGTAGTGTTCTCCTGGCATCCGCCAAACCCAGATTCGTCCATCGGACTGTCAGATGGTAAAGCGTGATTCATCACTCCAGAGAACGCGTTTCCACTGCTCCAGAGTCCAATGGTGGTGAGCTTTACACCACTCCAGCCCGACGCTTGGCATTATGCATGGCGATCTTAGGCTTGTATGCGGCTCCTCGGCCATGGAAACCCACTTCATGAAGCTCCTGACCAACAGTTATTGTGCTGACGTTGCTTCCATTGGCAGTTTGGAACTAGGTAGTGAGTGTTGCTACCGAGGACAGCCGATTTTTATGTGCTACGCGCTTCAGCACTCGGGGGTCCCGTTCTGTGAGCTTGTGTGGCCTACCACTTAGCGGCTGAGCCAGCCGCTGTTGCTCCTAGACGTTTCCACTTTACAATAACAGCACTTATAGCTCTAGCAGAGCAGAAATTTGACGAACTGACTTGTTGGAAAGGTGGAATCCTATGATGGTGCCACGTTGAAAGTCACTGAGCTCTTCGTAAAGGCCATCCTTCTCCAAATGTTTGTCTATGGACATTACATGGCTGTGTGCTCTTTTTTTATACACCGGGTGTGGCTGAAATAGCCGATTCCACTAATTTGAAGGTTGTCCACATACTTTTGTATAGTGTATGTGAAACTTACCTGGGCAGGCGAGTTCATAATCATGACAGCAGTCCAAAGTAGAGGTACAAGCCTGGTCGCAATAGCATGTGCCATACGAACGGTCAGCTCTCCATCCCTTACTGACGCACGACCGGTCGTGGCCGGTGCAGCAAAAACCCGTGTCCTGACACCCTGCCTCGCTCGGGACGAGCAGGAAAACTAGCAGCACGACACAGGAGTAGATCCAGCGGCCGGTAACAGTATAACTGAACTGGGGCATGACTAATGGCATAGAGGAGTGCTTCTGCGCGCGCCTTGCTTCTGTAGGACTTGGCACCGCGGCCAACAACCTGTAAAATCGCAGAGCTGTGTTCACACGCCGAAGTTGATACTAGGGGACTTTCGGATGTCGTTTATCTCTGTAATTCTGTAAAGTTTTTGACACAGAGTTTGTTCAGCCAAATATCCCATAATAATGGGATTCAAAGTGTAATCGGTCAATATGCTGCAATCTCTGGCCTCTTCAATGTCTTTTGTCAACCGCATGTCTCTCTCTTTCGCTCTCTTAAAGGGACAGTTAGTTTCTCTGACCACAGCGCTACCTACAAGGAAGCTCATTTGCCTCAAAACTAAATAAAATAAAACAGTACAGCTGTGAAGCATAGGCTTCTCTTAATTTAAAATAACATGGTAATTAAGCAGGCTACTGTTTACTATATGGTGATTCTATAATTGCATGACATGTGGGTGTCCGTTTAACAATGTTAATGAATGATCACGGTAGGGATGTATATGTGCATGCCTGTGAGCATCTTTACTTATATCCATGAGGTTTTATTATGCTAAGTAGCCTACAATGACAGTGACAGTATGTGTAGAGGAGGCCCCATGTCCATTTTCCCTGGCTAAATGAATGAGTAGCTTGTTTGCTTTGCACAGCCCATTCTTTCTACCCCTGTTGGCTTAAGCTGCCAGCGTTCCTGGTCCTTGTGCCTCAACATGTGAAAATAATGAATAATGATCAAATTCCTAAGGCCAGAACCATTCATGCAGCATGGAGCTTCCGTTCAGATACACATTTCCCAGCTACTCAGTACTGAGTGTGTGTATGAGGACGTGTGTGTGCGTGGCGGGGCAGATTCCCAGGCATTGACCTGACTGCAGTGCCTCTCTCCACACACACACAGACACGCACACACACACACACACAGACCTAGAGAGCGGCTCCATAGAAGGGCTCTGTCCTGGTGTAGTCTGGGAGTTCTATAGAACCTCTGCATTTACCGCTCTAATAAACACTGATCAGCTCTAACTGTCACAGACAATCCAAAGGCACAATTCACAGTCCAATCAAATGTTACTTGGGTAGTTATCATATTTAAATAAGCATGGCACATAGTAAACTCATTCAATGGTAAAAAAAAAAGTCAAATCTTTACATGGTACCTGTTGAAGGATTTGTATTCTGGATATTTGCACATGTTGAATAAACCACAAGTAAGCCAAGTAAGTTATTTGGATCAACATTTGGATAATGTTTATAATCTGAAAGCGGCTTAGAGTATGTTTTTCTTATACTGCAGTGAACAAAATGCTCCAGAGTGGCGCAGCGGTCTAAGGCACTGCATCTCAGTGCTAGAGGCGTCACTACAGAGCCTGGTTTGATTCCAGGCTGTAACAATTGTCCCAGTGTCATCTGGGTTTGGCTGGGGTAGGCCATCATTGTAAGTAAGAATTTGTTCTTAACTGACTTGCCTTGTTAAAGAATAAAAAAACAGATGCCCAATGCAGTAAATAACACTAAATAGGGCCTATTGACCTCTATGAGTGGCAGAAATGTGCGTAGCTGCAATTACTCCACCTCCATCACTCTCAAACTACTTCTGTTCTTCTCTCTTTGTTTCTGTATCAAGCATCTTATCAGAGCTCTCTCTTGTTAACCATTAACACCTGGAGTTGAATCAGACACCAACACCCATCCAGCCGACACCACCACCACACAGTCTAGGATCAGTTTTGCCTTTTATATCATAATGAATAAGAGGGGGGACCTGATCCTAGATCTGCATTCCTTCTCCGAGACACTTTATGAATATGGGCCCAGATTATACTGTAAGTTTATCAGCAGTGAGGTTTCCTTTTAAGGGCACCTCTCACCTCATTTAACGACTGACAAGTATGTTGACTAGCCTTTTAGGTAATGTACATTATCTCATATTTACATAGTCCAGCTTCTTAAATTAATTTTGCATTATAAGGTATTATCATAGTCCTTATCCTGACTCACAATATAAAAAACATATCAACTGCAAAATCTAAATCAAGATTACTGCATTGAGGAAAACATGGTTTGATTTGATTATCCCCACAGGTAGCAATATTGTAATGATTAAACTGACTCAGGCTTAAGGGCCTAACCTGCTATCTCACTGGCCTGAGCAGGACTTGGCTGGCTGGCACACCATCAGGCAGCACTACGTGCCAACAAGGCAGCCTGAGCTTTGGATTCAAATCACCTGATTTAGAAGCCAAGATTTAGACCTACTGTAAGTACCGCTGGACGTACGGCAAATGGAGGCTTTGATAAATTATTTGCACCGTTTCCAAGTATATCCCAACAGATGTCAGGCCATGCCAGCCACTCTGTAGTTTCATATAAAGTTGACCTGGTTCCAGTACTGTAAGCGAAGGCCCGTGTCTGTTAATGATTATTTATCTGACTGGGCCAGCCAGGTGTCATTCAAGGTGTTTAGTTCAGACATGATCAGACAACAACACCCTGATGAATAGTCTGGCTGACACCAGCTCTCGCTCTTCGCTGTGTAGTCACGTGGGTCACGTCAGCCAGGCTAGCTCCCCTCCCATAACACTCTGCAAAGTAATTACCTTAAATAGCCTTTAGTCTTTACATTCAGATTACCCAACCCTGATTCACGTGCATGCATTTGTGTCTTGTATTTCCCTTTGTTCAGTCAGTCGGATGTGTGTCTTAAATTCATGTTAGATGCTTAGGAGTTTTAAGGTTAAACAAGGGAGGTGGTGTTCACTTAAACAATGCAGGAACTTTATAGAAACATACTGTATGTAAGCAGGCAGGATGTAAGCATCTATACTGAGGTTTACAGTTCATGTACGCATAATCTTCTTATGACGTTCACATTTCATACATTCTGGCTAGTGACTAAACACTCCCCCAATACTACAGTACTCAACACTGTGAGTAAGTGATAGAGTTGAGAATAATTATTATCTATAACCTTGAACGAGTCCAGTATGCCTGCCATTTGTTGTCCTATCTTGTCAAGTGTGTGTGACGGAGGTGTGGGGTTGAAAGTCTGTGCATGTTGATACTGTAAGTATCATATAACTATTAGACATAATGCCAGATATCTATTTTAATTATTTCTTATTGACAAAATCAATACTGTTTGTACCTTCATTTTAAATAAGAATATGTTCTTAATTGACCTGCCTAGTAAAATAAACGTGTTTCTTATTTGCACATAAGAAAATTGGGCTGAGAGTTCCTCAGCCCAATTTTCTAAAGTAATAATGAACATGCAGTACATGGTGTACCTCTCAACAACAAAAATAATCTATTGGGGGCTCAAGGAGAATTTCCTTTGAACCTAATCCTGAAGGAGAGTGTTTAAATAAAGTGAGAAGGCAGGCCTGAGTCACAGAGTGGAGCAGCGGGAGGGAAACATATACCAGTTTAGATCTGCATCCTTAGCACTCTCACTTAGAACTCTCAGTACTCTCAGATACACCTTTATTTTATACCTTTATTTAACAAGACAGTTCAGAACAAAGTCCTCGCATCTGAGCACAACAGACCTTAGCTAGCTGCTTTCATACTTAAACGTAACACACACTGTACAGTCAGGACACCAAACCCCCAGGACCACTAGACAAGATGATCTTTCTGATGGACCTCCAGATGATGCTACTGGACGTGATCTACTTTATCCTGCGTGGATCCGTGCGGATCGTCTTCCGGCCGCGCACCAAGCCCATTGACGGCGAGCTTGTCCTCATCACAGGGTCAGGGGGTGCCCTGGGGCGTCTCTTCGCCCTGGAGTTCACCAAACACGGGGCAGAGGTGGTGCTGTGGGACATTGACGCTAACAACAATGAGGAGACAGCCAGGCTAGTGAGGGAGGCGGGGGGCAAGGCGTACCCCTACAGGGTGGACGTCACCAACCGGGTGGAGGTGTACCGCACGGCGGACAATGTGCGGACGGACCTGGGCCGTAATGTCACCATGCTGGTGAACAACGCCGGGGTGGTTGCCGGGGAACGGCTGATGGACTGTCCGGATGAGCTGTTGGAGAGGACCATGAAGGTCAACTGTCACGCCCTCTTCTGGGTAAGACTGCTGCTTCTACTGTTGTTACTATGTAGGCCAGATAACACTTTATAGAACTGGGCCAGGGGACTCTTATCAGCTGGTGGAAGAGAGGGTGGCATGCGGGTATCATCCAACTGTAATCTCAGAACCCAGAACCAAATCTGGTGTGTGCTGGCCAGCTACTCAATTTGACATTTGACACATATGTTAATAGTCTGTCACAAGAGACTAATTCCACTGTGATACTCTGTAGTGATGATGACAGTTAAATTCTGTCCATATAGTAAATGTACCATATAGTTCTGTTGACGGTCAGGCTTTAGGATGTGGGGGTTGAGGATTCCATGACTTATTGTCATTGATGTTAATCAGACGGATTATTAAAATCTATAATTATACAGGCTCCCATCACCAGCAAATAGCATCATTTTGTACAAAGTTTGATATGCAATATGCAGTCATATCAATAATAATAGGTTTTATATACAAATGTTTCTGTTTCCAGGCTCTGTCCTAGCTGGCCGTGACCGGGAGACCCATGGGGCGGCGCACAATTGGCCCAGCGTCGTCCAGGGTAGGGGAGGGAATGGCCGGCAGGGATGTAGCTCAGTTGGTAGAGCATGGCGTTTGCAACGCCAGGGTTGTGGGTTCGATTCCCACGGGGGGCCAGTATGAAAAAAGTAAAAAATAAAAAATAATGTATGCACCCACTAACTGTAAATCGCTCTGGATAAGAGCGTCTGCTAAATGACTAAAATGTAAATGTTTCTCAGAGCAGGATCCTACAGGCTGCGTTTACACAGGTATGCCAATTCTGATATTTTGCCACAAATAGTTTTTTTTGACCAATCAGATATTTCAGATATTTTGTCAATAATTGGGAAAAATATCAGAATTGGGCTGCCTGTATAAATGCAGCCATAGTGATACAAGGGCTATAGGGGTAACATGAAGAAGAAAAACCTACTGGTATGTGAAAACAGACTATCAGACTATAACTTTACTCCTAAATCTTTGCATTGCGAAAGAGAAATTCCAAGCCGTTTTATCCCTGTGTACGTCAGTATTATCCCTCCCTATACGTCAGCTATAGTCAGACGTATACAGTGCAGTTTATTGTTCTTAATGTGTCACATGACACGTGTGAAATGTACAACTTTAATAAGTTCTTATCCCCTTAGCTGAGCGACAACACCCCATACAGCGAGCCTATTAAAGTGACACACACACAGCCAATTAAAGGGCTAGGGGATTCCCTCCCTGATCCTCTTACAGTGGGGAACCGTAAGCCTGCTTCACATTAAGCAACTTTTAAGAAGCTTAGCTAGACAGAACTCCCATAAGGACTGCAGTACAATAATACTGCATCATTTTGCTCATTCAAAATGTTCATGGACTATTTAGCTATTAATCTCATTATTTCTACTCCTGATAGTCAGTAATTGTGTTTATCGAATAACAGTCTCTGTGTATGTGTGTGTGTGTTTGTGTGCATGTCCACCTGGTTGTGTGTCCGTGATTGCCTGTGTGTGCCTGTCTGTCCGTGTGTGTACCTGTCTGTCCGTATGTGTTCGTGTGGACCTGTCTGTCTGTGTGTGTCCCAGATGGCGAAGGCCTTCGTTCCCCAGATGAAAGAGCAGAACCATGGACACATCATCACCGTCGCCAGCGTCCTGGGTCTCTTCAGCACTGCCTGTGTGGAGGTGAACCAGGGAGGATATAACACATATGAGAGAATATGACTGATGTTTATTACTGTCTTGTTGCTGTTTATTACCGTAAATATTATTTAACTAAGAATGGTATTACTACAGTTATTACTGTGTAGTGACATAGGTAAGAGGGTAACCTATGGTAAAGTGTAGTGTATCTTAGCCTCTGTAACTTAGCCTACTGTATGTATGTGTTACTGTGATGTTGTAAATGTGTTCATATTCACAAAGCATCTCAGAGTAGGAGTCCCTGATATACGATCAGTTTTGCCTTTTAGATCATAATGAATAAGATTACATGGACAGGATGGACCTGATCCTAGATCAGCACTTACTCTGAGACTTCATGAATATGGGCCCTGATGTCTCAGTGGTGTTTCTGTTTGAGCCAGGATTATTGCGCCAGTAAGTTTGCGGCGGTGGGATTCCACGAGTCCCTGGCCCACGAGCTGCTGACTGAGGAGTTTGATGGAGTCAAGACCACTCTGGTGTGCCCCTATATTGTCGACACGGGCATGTTTGACGGGTGCAAGATCCGGTGAGAGAAACTATGTGCTGGAGAAAAGGCGGGACTAAAGAGGGACTAAGGGCAACTTTGTTGTGGGTCAATCACAGACTGATATTGCAGGTGTAAGCCTACCTCATACAATCATACACAGTGGTTTATCATTTGACACAGAACATAGGCTTACTACAGTATGTTTCAGAAAGTTGTAGTTGTATGTCTAACATTCTGATGTGGTGAAACTCTTTTCTCTCTGCTGCCCCCCTCAGGGATGAGGTAGCACTGTTCCTGGCACCGCTTGAGCCTAGGTACTGTGTGGAGCAGGCCATGAACGCCATCCTGATCGACCAACCCCTGGTTTGCATCCCACGCCTCACCTACCTGCCCGTCATCTCCCGAGCGTGAGTACACATTGATTGAATAAACTTTATAGATCACCCACTCACTTGTCTTCGCTAGCTCCTTGGAGCGGTGCGGAGCGCCTCGACATTTGTCTCTCCACAACCTCCTGTTCTGGGCCAGGTCCCAGGCTGATGTGGTGTTGAGTCCCAGGTTGTAGGTCTTCCTTCATTTGGTCGGACCAATTGTTTTTTCACCAGCAGCACCCTCAGGTGCTCTGATGAAGGCATAGTGCCACCATTTCCCAATGTTCTTTAACTTGAGATTTCATTTGAAGTCATTGTCCTATATGGCAGAGCACCCAGCTAATAAAGCGAGATAGCGCACCTGTTACCCACTTTCACATCAAACATAGTGTTTGTACAGGACACCCTGACATGATACAGCCAGATTACCTTTGACCTGTGTAACTGCACTCTTCTTCCTCATCCTGCAGGCTGTTGCCGTGGGAGTCTAACGTGGTGACCTATCGGTTCATGGGGTCAGACAAGTGCATGTACCCCTTCATCGAGAGCAAGAGGAACAAGCTGACCAATGGAGGACCTACCCTGATTGCAGCTAACTAACTCTCCCTGTCAATTCAGTCTCTACAGATAAAATCTAAGGGCCAGTTTCCCAGACATATTAGTCCTGGACTAAAATTCTCCATTGAGCATGCTTTTTATTCCAGGAAGAGGCTTAAACTGTGTCCAGGAAACAAGCCCTGTGTAGATAAAGACATATTTAATGGGATAAAAATGATAGAATAGGGAAATAAAATGGCCACTTTTTTCACACTATTCTGCCGACTCTAACTGTAATCCTCTCATGGCTGGCCTTCCTGTGAGTATGGTCCAACATAAGGTCAGTCTGCATTTGTAATATTATTATTCCCAGGTGGTTTGAGAAGGGCATCGCCAGCCAACCATGCCCCTCAACTGGTTTAAAAGCAGGCAGGCACCATCGGTCCTGTTCAGCACGCTTTAAGCAACCCTAGCTGTGCTGGAACCGTGCTGGAGAGGACAATGTGAAAATTAAATATCTGAGCCAGCACAGTATGGTTTGGGTCTGTACAATTGTGTGAAAAGGTTATATGTGCAACACCTCTGATTAGTGGTCCTCTGATTGCATGTGATGGAATGGAAGTAATGGTCATCGGCCAGCAATGAAGTCTTGCAGGACTGGGTGGTTGTACCATGTGTTTGACAGGTCAATAATAATGTGTCAGCCGTTTGTTTGGCTAACCTACCATCCTGCTGCCACATAACTGTTTACATGGAGTAAAAACATCTACTACTGTCACTGTAAAAACACTGTGTGCCTGGTTTGTTTTCTGTCACTGATATCACATCTGTATAGGGCTAGACATGCTTTGCCAGAAACACACACGTCTGTCGATAGAGAGCACAAAAAAAGTATCCACCTTTCTCTATCCTCTACAATTTTCTCTTGGAACACATGAAAAAAAACAACTGATGGTTTTGTTTTGTTCGTGACAGCACACACGTTTTACTTACATTCCATGGGGAGCAGAGAGGTGGTTTGACACCGAGGGAGGGGGAGAGACGAAAGGGGAGAGCAACACAGATTTATACTGCCCCGCCACCTCTCAGTGGGGATAGACAACATCACACACACACACGCGCTACACTTAGTCTCAAAACCTTCCCAGTCCTACATGGTAATGTAAATAAACACTGTTCACTTGTGGTGGTTGTTGTTGTTATAAAGCACTCTAGGAAAATCAACAGTGGTTTGCTAGCTGCATCCTATCCTTCCATGGGGTAACATACTTCACAAGTAAACACTATTGTAACAACTACAGTAGACCTGGGTTCAAAAGCCATTTCAAATCATTTCAAATACTTTAGCTGGGATTGATTGAGCTTGCCTGGCACAATGGAACAAATGGAATAGTGGCTTAACTGCAAACCTGTCCATCTGGCACTCCAGTCAGACTAAAGTATTTGAAATATTTCCAAATGTTTTTGAAGCCATGTTTGTGAACAACCCACCAAGAATTCCAGGCCCCGGGTTAAAGAAGAACAATAAAACAACATTTAAAAACAAGAGAAATAAATTTTCGTTAACAGAAAAGGGAAAAAAGAGAGAAAACGCTTCTACTCAAAACAAAGCTTCTTTTCACAGTTATAACATTATCCCATTCTATCTCAACAGAGCGGACTGCCATTACATATCGGATACGATGCAGCTACATTTTTCTATCAAGCAACCAAAAAATTATAAATGTGTACAATTAAACAACATTAAGGAGGAGGAAATAAACTTACTTTTTATTCTATCAATCTTGTTTAACTGTGAACATTTTGGAACATTTAATATAATATAAACACTAGTGATGCTTTAGAGCCTACAGTTGCCCTGAGCTTCCTGTATAATTCTAAAACAGCCTATCAGAACACAGTGTCAGAGTTTTCTTTTAGTGCTTCTTTCAAACAACCAATGGTGTGCATCTGCCTACACAGTGCCATCCAGAGTCTGTTGTCCCAAGGTGCTTGAGTTAGCCTGTTTGATAAGGAGAGAGTCGCTGCCGTCCATGTCCTGTTTGCCACACCTACAGAAGCAACACAAGACAGATCAGCGTTACCAAGTCATACAGACCAAATTCTCCGGTTGGAGGGAAAGTAGGGAAAGTAGTTCCCAGTTTTGCAACCCTATGAAAAAACGTATTATTCAACCGCAATAATAGTGTTCTCATACTGGTCCACATCTGACCTATCAGACATGTGGTCTTACCCAGAGGTTGGTCTGCTCCCTGTCCTTTCATTGGTCTGCTGCTGGTGCTGGTGCTGGTCCAGCTCTGACAGTAACTTCAGGATATTCAAGGCTGCCTGTGGATGGGGGGGGGGGGGGGGGGGGGGGGATTGGAACATTTGATATAGCCTATATCATAATTTCCCTAGTGCTAGTGCCAATATATGTCTGATTTAAAGCATCTGGGTCGTGTTCAGAGGGCACAGGTGAAACAGGGAAGTACATTCTGAACATGTCCAATATGCTTTTTTCCCCCCATATCAAAATGTTTAGCTATGGTGTGCCCTAATGAAAAAGATTCTGGTCTAACCATCAGAGCTCCTTCAGTGTGGTTGTCTGTGTGTCTCACCATGTCGTGACAGGACTCCACGTCCTTGCCAATGCCGTGGCTGATAAGAGGCGGCTGGGAGGAGCAGTTAATCAGCGATACAAATTCATTCTTGTTGTTTTTGGGGAAGTCTTTGTAATCCACCTGCAAGGAAAAAAACAAAGGGTTTTTAATACTAACAATCCAGAATACATTAATAAAAAGTTTCATTGTGTGTGTTCGCACACATGCTTGCGCGCGTCTGTGTTTACCTGCAGGCCTTGTACGTTGGCTAGGTAGCTGAGCTGTTCGGAGGTTCTGGTCAGGGGTCCATGAGGTACTAGATGAGCCATACCGTTCTGACTCTTCAGGATGGTATCGGCGGTCAGGGAAGTACCAGCGTACAGCAGCTCGTTGGCGATCATGGCCGTCAGGGTGGCCTTAATATAATAATAACATTAAAAAGGTGCAATATGCAGAAATCGCTCCGCCATTTCCTGGTTGCTAAAATTCTAATAGTATGCCTACTTTCAGTTTATGTGACAAAACAAGCAATGTATAGTGTAGAGAATCATTGTACCATATCTTTTAAATAACCAAAAACATTGTATTTTCAGCTGTTTGAAGCTGATGTACAACACTGAAATTAAAAGACGCAAAAACAAAACTTAAGAACGGGAAGCATAGAAAAAGCGCACATTGAACAGATATCGCTTCTTACACTTGCTGTCAATAAGAACAACAGATCTATAACTCATATTTCTATGTGAATTTGGTTGGGTCACCCAAAAAGTTACATATTGCAGCTTTAACAATAATAACAGTTTATTTGCATAGTGCTTATCTTTATACAAAGACACATTTCATCAAAACATTCAAGAAGTAACAGAGAACATCACAGGACTAAAATAAATATACAAAGGAAACCGAGCTAAAATAATATCATCAAGACTAATGTCGATAACTAAAAACACACACTAGACACAGACACATACTGACACACACACACCTTGGCTGGGTTGGTCCGGGGGCCGTAGCCCTTGTTCTGGTGCCCCTGACTGGGGCTGGCCCCTATAGCCTGGGCCACCTCTGCCACCATGGGCAGGATACCTGCTGGGAGCTGCTGGTGGCTGAGGTAGGGCTGGCGGTAGTCCTCTGCCTTGGAGCCTGAGAGATAGGGGGCGCCAGAGAGACAGACATGTAAAACACTGGGCAGGAAGGAGAATAGGGGATGGAACACCCATGTAATGTAAAAGCATCCCTCATGTCAAAATACTAAATCTGTCATCCCGCACAACACCAAGCCCGCTGGAGGAAGATTGTGAATTACCTATGCTCCCCAAAGAGCCAAAAGGGTTTAAGTCAAATAAGTAAAATCTCTAATATCAAATCCAAAAGCAAAGTCTACTACATAAATCTGAGTCCATATCAAAGCAACCCTGCCCCTGAACCACTCACCCAGCGACTGGCTCTCCTCCACAGAGCCCGGCTCAAAGAAGGTCACTTTCCTCCCGTCTCCATTTTTCTTCTGCGGGACCTTGGGTCACATGATCAACAGAAAGAGCACATGTCAGTTGGCTGCTCAATGGTCATTCAAGTCAACACAAACTCTCTACTGCTGGCTAGATGAGCACATGATTAGGGTCTAACTAAACCAGATGTCTGGCTGGGATGCCTCTGGTGGCTCTTTGGGACCTACTGTACCTTTTCGTCCATTTTGAGCGCAGGTTTGTGGGGCTGAGGCTGAGGCACTTTGAAACCTAGAAGCTCCAGCATCTTCTCTGCTGCGTTCCTCTTCGCTACCTTCTTACTGGGGCCCATGCCCTCCGCACACTGGCCACACACCGTCACCTGGTGACCAAAACCACAGGTCAGGAAGAGAGGAAAGATTGGTCCCAAAACCGACCATAGACACTTATGGAGATCTGAGGGAACTAGCCTAGATAGGCATACGCAATATGGTGCTAAATTGCCCTCTGATAGGATCGGTGTCATGTTTGCCATATTTGTTCACACCTGTTCAATCCCCTTAGACCTCTACAAGCGCCCTAGGCCTCGAGAATAGGCGCTATGGGGTTGATTTGGTCAAGAGCATGTAGGACTAGGCTATTTGAGCCTCCTGTCTTACCTGCATGACAAACTCCCTGCGTCTGGGCAGCCCCCTCTCTGTTAACATGCTGTACTCTGGCTCCTTCTCTTTCTTAGCCTGCTGGATCTGAGCCAGTCTGCTAATGGGGTTCATGCCCTGCCCATACTCTGGACTGGTCTGCAGCTAGGGGCGTAGGGAGAGAGAGAATGAGAGAGATATTAGGCATTACACACGAGAACAAACATTCCTTAGAAACTGTTCCTTTACTCACTGTTAGCTAGCAAATTTCCCATCTGGGATAATAAAGATGCTCTATCGCTCTCTACTCTCCCTGACCTCATCCCCCTGGTCCTCTCACCTTAACGATGGACTTGGTTTTCTTCTTGATGCGTGCTGGCTGAATCTTCTCCACGCTGGGGGGCAGCTGGGGCAGTCTCCTCAGTTCCTCCAGCACAGCTGTAGCTGCCAGCTTCTTAGCCATCTTCTTACTCTTGCCCTCGCCCTCACCACAGAACTCCCCCACCGCCACACGCACCATGAAGCTCTTCATGTGAGGCGGACCTGCCTCCTTCAGAACCTGTGGGTCAGAGAAGGAAAGGAGGGAGGAGGTTAGAGAAAGACAAATAATTCGAAAAAGGCTTAGCAATGTAAAGGTATGTCACCAGGAGAGAAACAATTATTTGTTCAAACTGGACTTGATCAATCTAAATGACTTTTAGCTAAGCCAATGCAGGACTATAGCCTACCTCAAAGTTGACAGGCATGTTCCTCTTCAGTGCGATCTCAAACACCTGGCTGATTTCTGATTTATTGAAGTTCTCTGTGTCTTCTCCATTAGTCTGAAATCAACAAAGTTTGTGTCAAAACATTCTGTCTGACAGTTGTGTATGTTGCAGCGGCGTGGCTATATGATACAGCGGAGTTGCTTTGTGTGGCAGTATTGAGTCACATATGTGCCCTTCCTTCACATTGTGAAGCAGACAGGTGTAGTGATCCATGTAGCAGGTGTTGCCCTGTGGGTAAAATACTAGAAACCTTCCCAAAGTTCCACCCAACTTTTTCCAGGAATTCCTGTTCGAGGATTCCCAGAAACAGAAGGGAATAAGCAAGGAAGGAATCCTAGAAATGGGAATCTTCCAACCAGGATTTCTGGAAAAACCCTGGAACTTTGGAAAAGTTACCAGAATTTCCCTCCAGTGCTGACCCCAGGCAGCTCTGACTGACCCCAGGCAGCTCTGACTGACCCCAGGCAGCTCTGACTGACCCCAGGCAGCTCTGACTGACCCCAGGCAGCTCTGACTGACCCCAGGCAGCTGCTGCAGCAGTATGGGCTCTTTCTGCAGAGTCTTCAGTGCCTTGGCGGCGGCGTCGTGTTTGGCGAGCTGCCGCGTGCGCCCCTTCCCATGGAACTGTTGGCCCCCGATGTTCAGCTCCATGTGGTACAGCACCGGCCCCACCGGGGGAAACGGGTAGTAGTACCTGACCACACAGAGAAGACAGGAGACGCTCAGGTATAGCTTTTACTGAGAGTGACTAATGACCCTCCCCAGAGTGGACATACTGTTGCATGGAGCGTTGGTAAGGCCCTGGGGCCCTGATGTTGTAGTTGAAGCTGGATGGTCTCATCCCAGGGTAGGGGTCTATGGGCTTGTACATGGGCTTCATCCCTAGCTTCATACAGAGGGCATTCAGCTCCACCGTGTGTGTCATGCAATCTACTGTGTTAGGACACACACAACAGAAAACACAAACATTACAGAACAATAGGGACCAAAACTTGAATACACCTGGTGATCAAACTCTTTTGAATGTAGACTACTTAACGCCACTGACTATCAATGTTTCCCCAATCATGATACTCAGCGACTCAAAGTGATGACCTGAGCCTCTCTCAGAAATACGCATGCACACATGGCCAGGCGTGCTGGGTTCTTGCCTGTGTTGTTGCGGGGGTTGTTCTTCATGCTAGGTTTGGGCAGTGTGGTCTGGGCCAAGGCTGTGGCAGCTGCAGAGTGCTGGGCCTTCTTTATACTGGTCCCCTCTGCCTCCCAGTGCTGATCCCCCAGCGATAACCGCACTGAGAAGATCTGGGGGAGGAAGAAAAGAGACAGAATAGAGAGAAGTAGAGAGAGGGATTCACATCTCTGTTATTGAAATGAACAAGTATTTAAGAGCAGGGAGGTAGACATAAAAATGCACAGTGATGACTGATCTCCTAGGGTTATGTTCAGTAGGCACAAAATTACAGAAAAAGGCCAGAAATGATGAGGTACTATGTGAAGTTAAACTTCAACAAGAAACACTTGCTTTTGTTTTCAGTTGCAAAACCCTTTGCTACAGTGAGTGTACTCTAATGAACATGCCCCATGCTTGCTAGTGAGTGTCAGTGGTTGGGTTGTTGAGTTACCTTGGAATGAGCTGGTCCTTGCTCACAGAGCAGCTTATACTCAGGCTGGATCTTATTGAAACGGGCTAACTCATTCACCAGACACATGGGGGTCTTCTCTTTAGGGTTTGCCATGTTAGATACTAAAAACAAATAAACAAAAACAGATAAGTCCATTGAGAGAGACACAGACATACAGCTTTGGTGCACACACACAACGCACGCACACCGACAGACCTGTGGAGGCGGGGCTGAAGGGAGTGGCTGAGCCCGAGGGCAGGGCTGAGCTCAGGAGCGGGTGACTGGCGCTCTCGGAGGGTAGGGGGCCAGAGGCACAGGGGATACTGTACCCTGGCTGGTGTTGAGACAGCTGCTGCATGGGGCTGGCAGCATCGCTCGACATAAGGTTACCCGGACACTGGAACTGGAGCTGGGACATACTGGCCAGTTGGGTTTGGTGGAGTCAGGCAGTAGGTAGGTTCGAGATGGGAACTCTTCAGTGCAGCAGCGATAGACGTTTAAGGTTTATTTGACTTTGAGGTGAGTGACTGCAAAGCCCTGCCTGAAAAGAGGATAACAAAGAGAATGGTTTAGACAGAGGGTTTGTTTTGGGGTAGATTGTTCCCTGCAATTTAAGGTTATGAGATACAGATTAATTAATTTGTAACACCTAACAACACCCATGCATGAAAAGGTCATAAGGGTGCTGTAAATTTGCATCATAAAACAAGAATGAATGGACCGCAATAAATCCAATAAACTGTCAGTTATGTACTATGTTTCCCTGCAATACAATAATGGCTAGCTAGTAACTTAGACATCATCTGGCTGTTGTGACAATCGTCATTCTCTACAGACTGTAGAACTTAATGCCCAACTTGCTAAGAGGACAAGTTTACAAGAGAAAGTCGTTTGGAGGATCTTTGTAAGGTGTGTTCTGCTAGCTACTTAGCCAACCTAGACAACTAACGTTAGCTGTCTGGCTAGTTGGCAAGTAACTAACTAAATATCCAGCTGAGCTAGTTAATGTTCGTTTCATATACGAACATTACACACTCACGTTAGTTGTCATTTTTGTTTTTGCAAAACGTTGTCAAGTGTTATTGATTGCCCCGGTCTTGCTAGACAAGTTATTGCAGTTGTGCCATTTGTTTGCACGCTTGTCAAGTACCGGCGGCAGCTAACTAGTTAGCCTAGCCAAATATCTAGCGAGCTAACAATCTAATTATCTGGGCGACGTCAACACATTTGACACTCATGTCATGTGTATTAGCATTTTAAATATTATTCTAAAACAGTCATGAACTATATATTTAGCAATAAAAGGTTTGAATCCGGCATAAATCTGAAGCCGCTAGCTTATCTAACTCCTGTCCTGCAGGAATTGATGGATCATGGATGTCTAGCCTAGGTAGCTCGAGACGCTAGCTAAGCAAACTAGCTAGCTAGTCAGGAGGCATCTAATAAACCTCACCTCGTTATCCTTCTGTCCAGTTCTTAGTTACTCCATTGGATACGTTGCTTAAATGTTGTATTGGTTTGGTTTTGCTCCAATTGTGTAGGGTTTCCCGTGTGATTTTGGATCAAAATGTTGGTAGTGAAGAGGTGGGGAAAAGGCATACAAGGCAAACACTAAAGAGAATGGCCCACTCTTGGCTGTCTCTTCCGGGAAATGACATCGTTCAGCTAGGAGGAAGTCTGCTTGGAAAGTGGGCTACTTTGTAGCTAATGAATGAATGATCATAAGATAGTTATGATCAAGTTCATATCTGATGTTCGTTACAGACGAGCACATCCATAGCTCCAATAAAGGATCTGGAACATTTAGTAAAGAAGATTACATATTGTAGTAGACTAGTCTCATAGATTAGATGCAACATGGGTCTCTCAAACTAGCTAGTATGGTATGTTACATTTCGTATGGTTACATTAAATAGATGGAAGCAGGTTGTATGGGTGGGTGGGTGTATAAAGCGAACGTCTAGGTTGCGTGTTCGATCTCATCATGGATAACTTTAGCAACTTTGCAACTATTTAGCATGTTCGCTAACCATTCCCTTAACCTTAACCCTTTTAGCTATCTCTTCCCTTAACATGAACCCCATCCCCTAGAGATAACATTAGCCACCTAGCGAACGTTAGCCACAACAAATTGGAATAAGTTACATATACATTATATGGCCAAAAGTATGTGGACAACTGCTCCTAGAACATCTCATTCCAAAATCATGGGCATTAATATGGAGTTGGTCCCCCGTTTGCTGCTATAACACCCTCTACTCTTCTGGGAAGGCTTTCCACTAGATGTTGGAACATTGCTGCGGGGACTTGCTTCCATTCAGCCACAAGAGCATTAGTGAGGTGGGGCACTGATGTAGGCGATTAGGCCTTGCTCGCAGTCTGCGTTCCAATTAATCCCAAAGGTGTTCGATGGGGTTGAGGTCAGGGCTCTGTGCAGGCCAGTCAAGTTCTTCCACACTGATCTCAACAAACCATTTCTCTATGGACCTCGCTTTGTGCATGGAGGCATTGTCATGCTGAAACAGCAAAGGGCCTTCCCCAAACTTTTGCCACAAGGTTGGAAGCACAGAATCGTCTAGAATGTCATTGTATGCTGTAGCGTTAAGATTTCCCTTCACTGGAACTAAGGGGCCTAGCCCGAACCATGAAAAGCAGCCACAGACCATTGTTCCTCCTCCACCAAATTTTACAGTTGACACTATGCATTGGGGCAGGTAGCGTTCTCCTGGCATCCGCTAAACCCAGATTCGTCCGTCGGACTGTCAGATGGTAAAGCGTGATTCATCACTCCAGAGAACGCGTTTCCACTGTACCAGTGTTCCACTGTGAGCTTTACACCACTCCAGCCGACGCTTGGCATTACGCATGGCGATCTTAGGCTTGTGTGCGGCAGCTCGGCCATGGAAACCCATTTCATGAAGTTCCTGACGAACAGTTCTTGTGCTGACGTTGCTTCCAGAGGCAGTTTGAAACTCAGTAGTGAGTGTTGCAACCGAGGAGTTGTTGCTCCTAAATGTTTCCACTTCACAATAACAGCACTTAGTTGACCGGGGCAGCTGTAGCAGGGCAGAAATTTGACAACCTGACTTGTTGGAAAGGTGGCATCTTATGACGGTGCCACGTTGTAAGTCACGGAGCTCTTCAGTACGGGCCATTCTACTGCCAATGTTGTCTTGGATTTACGTACAGAATAATACAAAATGCTCTGAGAGCATGTTGCAGACAGACAGATGAGTGGCCACACCTACAGTATGTGATATCTCCATTAGTGATGGGTCGTTCGCGAACTAACGGCTCTTTTTGGTGAACGTTGGGAACCGAATCGGGGAAAGAGATGTTGGTTTGGCTCCCTGATTTGCATACTGTTGTTACTACTATTTTTTGAGATTCAAACTACAGATTATCTGAAAATAACGTTACAAAATCATTCTCATTTCCATTTTTTGCAGGCTATCTAATAATTTGGCCAGGTAAAAATGTATTTGAACGTGCATATCACATTCTGAAATCATGGTCGCCTACGTTTTGGGCTTTACATTAGATTTTTTTTTTTTTTATGTCATGGTGCTAGGTCAATTTTAAAGCATTTTAAATGAAGAGCCATTTGGGAGTCAAATGATGTGTCTTTTACGTGAATGGAGTCAAATGATAATGCTCATCGAAAAGACTCGGAATGCCCATCACTAATCTCCTTGAGGGATATCTCCCATTATAAACCTAATGGTGCATGGGTTGATCAAACAAACAAATCAAACGAAACAACCATAAATGTCCTCAGCACATTTATTTTGGCAGTGAACGACCATAAGCTGCTAAGAACTTTAACTTACATTGAGAAATCTTTACAACCATGATAGAAAAGAGAAAAGTCACACACAAACCTAAGCTTATTATGCTCTAAAAATAGAAAATCCATGATTGAATCACTATAAAATATTGCTTCTCTATAACATAATTCTTCTTCCTGTGTCTGTCCATTCCATGATGAGGACAGTGAGTGAGAGACTGTGTTCGAGAGCATCAAAACTGTGATGTATCATGGGTAAATTGTGACTGACTGATGTACAAGTAATAATGAGTCATTATTTATGTTGCAAGGTTAATAGTAGATCAGTCAGTCAGCAGTCGCCTGCACTGTCGCTGCAATGTTGAACATTTCACATTTACATTTTAGTCATTTAGCAGAAGCTCTTATCCAGAGCAACTTACAGTAGTGAGCGCATAATTGTTATTGTACTTTTTCGTACTGATCACCCGTGGGAATCGAACCCACAACCCTGGCGTTGCAAGCGCCATACTCTACCAACAGCCACACAGGACCCGAACAAGCCCAGTGGTTGCATAGGGGTGCGGAGGGTGCTGCAGCACCCTCTGAAAAATCCCCCAAAATAATAATAAAACCTTTTTTGTATTTATTTCTTATATTTTTCCACAAAAGTAGTGGACTGGGCCTTTACTAGTCCTGTATTAGCGGACCGATATAGCTGTCTGTTGCATGGGCAAAGATGTGGTTAGCTAATATGTTAAACACCTATCCAGGCATTGTGAGATCTGACAGGTGTCTGCAATGAAGTCAGCCAGGAACACGGCCAGTGGTTTGAGGTTTCTACAGGTTGTATGTCTGACGTATGTTCAGTGAGTCTCGAAGCATCAGGTCCCGCAGGCGCCACAGTGCGTCTGCCATCGTCGTGTGGGCTCCCTTGCTCTTCAGCCAATGGGAAGGGAGCCTGCTCTCCTGGTCTTTGGACAGGTGGGCATCTCTCCGACGCGCTGTGGAAATGACAGACTTTACCCATTTTGCTCACATGCCACAACACACACCCACAAACAGAAGTGTAGAAACTCAGCAATAAAGGACACCTAAGAGGACAGCTATTCAAGAGACAGATAATACATGGGAGTAGAGTGAGAAGGAAATTGTTGCGCTCAATTCATTGGAGTTAATTCAGTATGCTGCAGTACAGGTGCGTAGAGAAGAACAGCACATTTGTGAGTAGAAATATACCTTTGAGAGATTGGTCCCACTTGCTGACCGTGTCAGTCTCCGCGTTCAGGCCCTCGATGTACTTGAGGTAGGCCTCAGAGTGGAGCACCCTCTGTGTCTTGGGCGGTGGAGCCACAAACATGGGAGTCATGGGCTGGAGGTGAGAGGGCTGCCCTAGCTGGCCTGGGTAGGGTGGAGGAGCCTGCTGCCCCGGGCTAAACATCCCAGGCTGAGGGAGATACAGGAAAACAAGATAAGGGCACTGCTTTTCCACTGCATTTGGGTACAATATACAGTCTATGGAACTTTTGGAAAATCCAAACAGGGGAATTCCCAACAACAACAAAAAATCATGTCCCACAAGTTATAGAAAACAGTATCAGAGTGCAGTAGCTCATTGGTAGTCCTTAGTAATCAGTTAGGCTTTTACCTGTTGCATGTAGTAGTGGCCTCCGGGACTTCCTTGCATGCCATTCATACCAGGACCCATCATGCCTATCACAAAAACAACAATGAGTTTCCACACACAATCATGACAAAACAACAAGCATTGTTAGTGTAGGATGTATAACGTATGGTGGATGTGCATAGAATGCATGCTGTAGAATAAATGTGTGCGCTTTTTTTAAATACAGAAACTGGTGGTGAGACTGAGGGTTTATTTGTAGTCATATCACCACATGCATTACATGTTTGTTTGTGTGTTAATTGAGTGGAACATGGATTCTGAGATATGCGAGTAAATACAACAGAGTAATACTGTGCGAATGTGTAGAGAAGAGGTAAAGGACGGTGGAACCCGTGTAGTGCTTGACCGCCTGGCGGACAGACAGACAGTTTGAAGAGAAGGTAGCCACACACTATAAACAGTGCCTATAGAAAGTCTACAACCCCCCTTGGATTTCGTCACATTTTATTGTGTTACAAAGTGGGATTAAAATGAATTGAATTGTCATTTTTTGTCAACGATCTACACAAAATACTCTAATGTCAAAGTGGAAGAAAAATGCTTACTTAAAAAAAAAGATAGATGAAAAATAAAGCACTAATATACCTTGATTAGCTAAGTATTCACCCCCTGAGTCAATATATGTTAGAAACACATTTGGCAGCGATTACAGCTGTGAGTCTTCTTGGCTATGTCTCATAAGAGCTTTGCACACCTGTATGGTGCAATACTTGCACATTATTCTTTTTAAAATTATTCAAGCTCTGTCAAGGTGTTGGGGATCATGGCTAGACAGCAATTTCCAAGTCTTCCCATAGAGTTTCAAGGAGATTTAAGTCAAAACTGTAACTTGGCCACTCAGGAACATTCACTGTCTTCTTGGTAAGCAACTCCAGTGTAGATTTGGCTTTGTGTTGTAGGTTCTGGTCCTGCTGAAAGGTGAATTCCTCTCCCAGTGTCTGGTGTAAAGCAGACTGAAGCAGGTTTTCCTCTAGGATTTTGCCTGTGCTTAGCTCCATCCAGTTTATTTTCATCCTGAAAAACTCCCCAGTTTTTGCCGATGTCAAGCATACCCATACCATGATGCAGCCACCACCATGCTTGAAAATAAGGAGGCAGTTACTTAGTGATGTGTTGTGATTGCCCCAAACATAAGGCTTTGCATTTAGGCCCAAAAGTGTATTCCTTTGCAGTATTCCTTTAGTGCCTTTTTGCATACATATGCATGTTTTGGAATATTTGTTTTCTGTATATTTGTATTCTTCTTTTCACTCCGTAATTTAGGTCATTATTGTGGAGTCACTACAATGTTGTTGATCCATCCTAAGTTTTCTCCCATCACAGTCATTGAACTATGTAGCTGTTTAAAATCAATGGCCTAATGGTGACATTTACATTTACGTCATTTAGCAGACGCTCTTATCCAGAGCGACTTACAGTTAGTCCCTAAGCAGTTTCCTTCCTGTCCTGCAGCTCAGTTCAGAATGACGACTGCATCTTTGATGTGTCTGGGTGGTTTAATACATCATCCACAGCATAATTATTAACTTGACCATGTTTATAGATATATTCAAATGTCTGATTTGTTATTCTTACCCATCAACCAATCACTACCCTTCTTTATGAGGCTTTCGAAAAGCTCCCTGGTCTTTGTAGTTTAATCTGTGCTTGAAATTCAATACTTACAGATGTATGTATGGGGGACAGAGGAAGGGGTAGTCATAAAAAAATAATGTCAACCCCTATTATTTCACACAGAGTGAGTCCATATAACTTATACGATTCGTTAAGCCACATTTTACTTCTGAACTCATTTAGGCTTATGCAACAACTATATTTCATTTATTTAATTTGTATTAATTTGTAAAAAATATATATATAATTTTCTTTTCACTTTGCCATTATGGAATATTTTGTGTCGATCGATGACCAAAAATTACAATTAAATCTATTTCAATCCCACTTTGTAACGCAACATTTTTTGAAAAAAGTTCAAGAGGGTGTAGACTTTCTATAGGCACTGCAGCTCTGATGCAGAGCAATAGAATGTTCAGCTACCTTCTTTACTTTTCAAAGTGTTTTGTTAAGCAACCTTTACCTCGCCAACTCAGGTATACGTTTTCCCGTCTCAGAACAGACAGACAGACAGACAGAGACCAGGCTTGGCAGCCTGAGTGGTCAGTGGGCCACCACAGCACAGCCTGTCTGTGGACCAGGTAAACCCCTCCAGCAGGAGAGACCAAGACACGACTGACTGGAAGCTAATGACTGACCAGGACAGGTATGGCCTTGGCCTGGAGTGTGAGTGGGGTCCTTACCCAGGTAGGGCATACCTGGCTGGAGGTGTTGGGGGGGCATCGGGCCCATATGGTGAGGTGGCATTGGGCCCATACCCAGCAAGCCCTCATGGGGGCCCTGCATGGGCATGCTGTAGGGGGGGCCGTAAGCTCCCATCATGCCTTAGGAGGAGGAGGGGGGGCCGGGAATGACAACAAGATAACCATGCATAAGTGACATGCAACTGACTATCCAAAAGACATGCACTACATATTAATGATAAAAGATTAAGTTAAACCAGTTAGTAAGTAAAACAAGCATGGGTGTTACTGTAAAGAAGAGGTTAAATAATACAAATACAATTTTTGGTCATGCTGTTAATTTGGATCATGCAAACTTTGATTCAATGCATTTGATGCAAAACAAAATATAAAACAGATGAAATAATATTAAATAAAAATGATCAGCAACAGAAACGAAAACAATCACAGCCTATAATGGAGATGCAGTTGAAAGCCAATGGACAATTTTGAATGGGCAATTTCCGGATAGGGGACGAGGGTAAATAAATTAAGGTTGAATTGTTTTAGCAGTCCAGCTTAATTATTTCCCGGGTAGTTGCTAAGTCCCAAGCAATCGTGCCATCTCCCTGAATCCCAAATCTCCCCTAGCCACTACCCATGAGGCACTGTATATCTGGGTGCTTAGGGGCTAGTGGTTGATTTGGGATGTCTGTCTCTGTGAGGAAGGGGTTACCTGGACCAGGCATCATTCCCATGTGGCTAGTTGAAGGCACCACCCCCATCATGGACCCTACTGGGGTACCTGCTCTAGGGGACGCTTGCTGCTGGGCTACCCTCTCCCTCTCCTGCTGCTCCACCACTCTGGCTGCCCGCTCTGGAACAAACAGCAATACGCACGCTTGGATTAATTCATAACGCTAACATTGAAGGGACATAACACTCCAAGATCCAAGTTTGTCAGATGTTTGGCTAGGGATATGGACTAGCGTATTTTGTTTTGTCGACATTTGGAAAGTTTACAGACAAATTTGCTGTTTCCATCAGGCCGGACGTTACATTTTTTATCCAACATGTACTTTACTCGCAGGAAAAGGTTGGATGGAAACATGGTTATTGTCATCACCAATCTGATTCTGATTGCAGATCTCAACCTGTGTATGAATTCACTGGTGAAACAAAGTCTCCATAGAGATGCCTCAGTACTAGCATGCTTCCCTGGCCTTCCTACCTTCATACTCTACTTTCTTGGGAGCCTCCAGGTTTCTCCACTCCGTGCCCACCAGACGGCTGAGCTCCCCGAAGGAGAAGTCAGGGTGGCGGGTCTTGATGACCGAACGCATCTCACTGCTGAATAGGATGTAACCACTCATGTTAACCTTCCTCTTGGCTCCTTCCTTCTTAGACACGCCCTTCGCCTTGGGAGTGGACTGTGGAGAGAAACAGGGGGTAGACCGGTCAATCAACAGTAACACCTATGTTAATTAATAGAGTGGATGTCCACGCCCCCGCTGAAATCTAACTAGCATAATAAAAACATCCCATAAAATCCATCTGTTTAAGCTAAAGATACGTTATTTTTTTAGCATGGGCTGCGTCTCAATCCACCACATCCGCCAATGTTGGCCTTCCGCATCCTAAGTGAAAGGTGGCATAGCTACAGCGGTGTTTGTCAGACTAGGAGACATCTGAAAATCTCTCTCACAAAAACGTCTGTAGTGTCCGAGAGATAGAGATAGACAGTGCATTCGGAAAGCATTCAGACCCCTTGCAAATAAAAAAATGATATATCACATTTACATAAGTATTCAGACCCCTTACTCAGTACTTTATTGAAGCCCCTTTGGCAGCGATTACAGCCTTGAGTCTTCTTGGGTATGACGCTACAAGCTTGGCACACCTGAATTTGGGGAGTATCTCCCATTCTTCTCTGCAGATCCTCAAGCTCTGTCAGGTTAGATGGGAAGCGTCGCTGCACAGCTATTTTCAGGTCTCTCCAGAGATGTTCGATCGGGTTCAAGTCTGGGCTGTGGCTGGGCCACTCAAGGACATTCAGAGACTTGTCCCGAAGCCACTCCTGCATTGTCTTGGCTGTGTGCTAAGGGTCGTTGTCCTGTTGGAAGGTGAACCTTTGCCCCAGTCTGAGGTCCTGAGCGCTCTGGAGAAGGTTTTCATCAAGGATCTCTCTGTACTTTGCTCAGTTCAGCTTTCCCTAAATCCTGACTAGTCTCCCAGTCCATGCCACTGAAAAACATCCCCACAGCATGATGTTGCCACCACCATGCTTCACCGTAGGGATGGTGCCAGGTTTCCTCCAGACGTGACGCTTGGCATTCAGGCCAAAGAGTTCAATCTTGGTTTCATCAGAGCAGAGAATCTTGTTTCTCACGGTCTGAGAGTCTTTAGGTGCCTTTTGGCAAACTCCAAGCGGGCTGTCATGTGCCTTTTTACTGAGGAGTGGCTTCCATCTAGCCACTCTACCATAAAGGCCTGATTGGTGGAGTACTGCAGAGATGGTTGTCCTTCTGGAAGGTTCTCCCATCTCCACAGAGGAACTCTGGAGCTCTGTCAGAGTGACCATTGGGTTCTTGGTCATCTCCTTCACGAAGGCCCTTCTCCCCCAATTACTCAGTTTGGCCGGGCGGCCAGCTCTAGGAAGAGTCTTGGTGGTTCCAAACATCTCAAGGATGATCAATAGAAACAGGATGCCCCTGAGCTCAATTTCAAGTCACATAGCAATGGGTCTGAATACTTACGTAAATAAAGTATTTATGTTTCTTTATTTTCAATAAATTAGCAAAATTTCTAAAAACCTGTTTTTGTGCTTTGCCATTATGGGGTATTGTGTGTAGATTGAGTACATTTTATTTTTGCAATACATTTTAGAATAAGGCTGTAACGTAACAAAATGTGGAAAAAGTATCTCAAAATGTTTGGACACACCTACTCATTCAAGGGTATTTCTTTATTTTTTTACTAATTTCTACACTGAAGAATAGTAGTGAAGACATCAAAACTATGAAATAATACATATGGAATCATGTAGTAAGCAAAAAAAGTGTTAAACAAATCCAAATATATTTTATATTTGAGATTCTTCAAATAGCCACCCTTTGCCTTGATGACAGCTTTGCACACTCTTGGCATTCTCTCTACCAGCTTCACCTGGAATGTTTTTCCAACAGTCTTGAAGGAGTTCCCACATGCTGAGCACTTGTTGGCTGTTTGTCCTTCACTCTGCGGTCCGACTCATCCCAAACCATCTCAATTTGGTTGAGGTCGGGGGATTGTGGAGGCCAGGTCATCTGGTGCAGCACTCCATCACTCTCCTTCTTGGTAAAATAGCCCTTACACCGCCTGGAGGTTTGTTGGGTCATTGTCCTGTTGAAAAACAAATGATAGTCCCACTAAGTCCAAACCAGATGGGATGGCGTATCGCTGCAGAATGCTGGTTAAGTGTGCCTTGAATTCTAAATAAATAACAGACAGTGTCACCAGCAAAGCACCCCCACACCATAACACCTCCTCCTCCATGCTTTACGGTGGGAAATACACATGCGGAGATCATCCGTTCACCCACACCGCGTCTCACAAAGACAGCGGTTGTAACCAAAAATCTCCAATTTCGACTCCAGACCAAAGGACACATTTCCACCGGTCTAATGTCCATTGCTCGTGTTTCTTGGCCCAAGCAAGTCTCTTCTTATTGTTGGTGTCCTTTAGTAGTGGTTTCTTTGCAGCAATTCGACCATGAAGGCCTGATTCACACAGTCCCCTCTGAACAGTTGATGTTGAGATGTGTCTGTGACTTGAACTCTGTGAAGCATTTATTTGGGCTGCAATTTCTGAGGCTGGTAACGCTAATGAACTTATCCTCTGCAGCAGAGGTAACTCTGGGTCTTCCATTCCTGTGGCGGTCCTCATGAGAGCCAGTTTCATCATAGCGCTTCATTGTTTTTGCGACTGCACTTGAAGAAACGTTGAAAGTTCTAGAAATGTTCCGGATTGACTGACCTTCATGCCTTCAAGCTGCTGCTAGTGCTTTAAAGTGGAGGTGATGCCCCCGTGGTCCTCTGTAGCTCAGCTGGTAGAGCACGGCGCTTGTAACGCCAAGGTAGTGGGTTCGATCCCCGGGACCACCCATACTCAAAAATGTATGCACGCACGACTGTAAGTCGCTTTGGATAAAAGCGTCTGCTAAATGGCATATTATTATTATTATTATTATTAAAGTAATGATGGACTGTCGTTTCTCTTTGCTTATTTGAGCTGTTCTTGCCATAATATGGACTTGGTCTTTTACCAAATATGGCTGTCTTCTGTATACCAACCCTACCTTGTCACAACACAACTGATTGGCTCAAACGCATTAAGAAGGAAAGAAATTCCACAAATTAACTTTTAACAAGGCACACCTGTTAATTGAAATGCATTCCAGGTGCCTACCTCATGAAGCTGGTTGAGATAATGCCAAGAGTGTGCAAAGCTGTCATCAAGGCAAAGAGTGGCTACTTTGAAGAATCTCAAATAAAAAATATATTTTGATTTGTTTAACACTTTTCTGGTTACTACATGATTCCATATGTGTCATTTCATAGTTTTGATATCTTCACTATTATCCTACAATGTATAAATTAGTAAAAATAAGGAAAAACCCTGGAATGAGTAGGTGTGTCCAAACTTTTGACTGGTACTGTGTATGTACACTGCTAAAAAAATAAAAGGGAACACTTAAACAACATTCTTATTAATCTTATTAAATACTTTTTTCTTTACATAGTTGAATGTGCTGACAACAAAATCACACAAAAATGATCAATGGAAATCAAATTTATCAACCCATGGAGGTCTGGATTTGGAGTCACCCTCAAAATTAAAGTGGAAAACCACACTACAGGCTGATCCAACTTTGATGTAATGTCCTTAAAACAAGTCAAAATGAGGCTCAGTAGTGTGTGTGGCCTCCACGTGCCTGTATGACCTCCCTACAACGCCTGGGCATGCTCCTGATGAGGTGGCGGATGGTCTCCTGAGGGATCTCCTCCCAGACCTGGACTAAAGCATCCGCCAACTCCTGGACAGTCTGTGGTGCAAAGTGGCGTTGGTGGATGGAGCGAGACATGATGTCCCAGATGTGCTCAATTGGATTCAGGTCTGGGGAACGGGCGGGCCAGTCCATAGCATCAATGCCTTCCTCTTGCAGGAACTGCTGACACACTCCAGCCACATGAGGTCTAGCATTGTCTTGCATTAGGAGGAACCCAGGGCCAACCAAACCAGCATATGGTCTCACAAGGGGTCTGAGGATCTCATCTTGGTACCTAATGGCAGTCAGGCTACCTCTGGCGAGCACATGGAGGGCTGCCACCCCACACCATGACTGACCCACCGCCAAACCGGTCATGCTGGAGGATGTTGCAGGCAGCAGAACGTTCTCCACGGCGTCTCCAGACTCTGTCACGTCTGTCACATGCTCAGTGTGAACCTGCTTTCATCTGTGAAGAGCACAGGGCGCCAGTGGCGAATTTGCCAATCTTGGTGTTCTCTGGCAAATGCCAAACGTCCTGCACGGTGTTGGGCTGTAAGCACAACCCCCACCTGTGGACGTCGGGCCCTCATACCACCCTCATGGAGTCTGTTTCTGACCGTTTGAGCAGACACATGCACATTTGTGGCCTGCTGGAGGTCATTTTGCAGGGCTCTGGCAGTGCTCCTCCTGCTCCTCCTTGCACAAAGGCGGAGGTAGCGGTCCTGCTGCTGGGTTGTTGCCCTCCTACGGCCTCCTCCACGTCTCCTGATGTACTGGCCTGTCTCCTGGTAGCGCCTCCATGCTCTGGACACTACGCTGACAGACACAGCAAACCTTCTTGCCACAGCTCGCATTGATGTGCCATCCTGGATGAGCTGCACTACCTGAGCCACTTGTGTGGGTTGTAGACTCCGTCTCATGCTACCACTAGAGTGAAAGTACCGCCAGCATTCAAAAGTGACCAAAACATCAGCCAGGAAGCATAGGAACTGAGAAGTGGTCTGTGGTCACCACCTGCAGAACCACTTCTTTATTGGTGGTGTCTTGCTAATTGCCTATAATTTCCACCTATTGTCTATTCCATTTGCACAACAGCATGTGAAATGTATTGTCAATCAGTGTTGCTTCCAAAGTGGACAGTTTGATTTCACAGAAGTGTGATTGACTTGGAGTTACATAGTGTTGTTTAAGTGTTCCCTTTATTTTTTTGAGCAGTGTATGTATGTATGTATGTATGTATGTATGTATGTATGTATGTATGTATGTATGTATGTATGTATGTGTGTACAGTCGTGGTCAAAAGTTTTGAGAATGACAAGTATTGGTCTTCACAAAGTTCGCTGCTTCAGTGTTACGAGATATTTTTGTCAGATATTACTATGGTATACT